TTTTTTTTTTTTGTTCCGTTCAGCCATTTTTTTCCCGTTCATGATGCGATCGCATAGACCATTTTTTTTCCCATTCATGGTGCGTTCAGCCATTTTCTTTCTTGTTCATAGCTAACCGTGAAAAATGAAAAATTCTTGTTCAGCCATTTTTTTCCCATCGCATAGACCACTTTCCACATTCGCACCAAAAATTCAGCCGAACCCATTTTATAAGAAGACGTTTTCCCCTTAGTTAATGCTCCAGAGAGCGGTCCCTCGAACCGGGCCGGCAGGCCCACGCCCGGATGATAGCATCGGGCTTCGAACCCAGGGTCTTCGTCTCCAACTGTTTGTTGAGGATGTACACAAGATGCTCCCTTTTGGACACTGCTCGTAAAGCGTTCGATAAAATGTCCCAAGGGGATGTGGTCTGATTGAACTCTCTGATTTCTGGGTATGCAGTCTGTGGAAAAATGGATTTGGCCCAATCGATTTTCGGATCAATGACAGAGAGGGTTGTGATTTCGTGGAACTCTCTGATCTCTGGTTAATTTCATAAAGGGAATTGTTTAAGGCCGAGATATTTGTGGAGATGGGGAAAGAAGGTTTGTCTTATGACGAGACCACTTTTGCCGTTGTTCTGAAAGCGTGTTCGGGTTTAGGAAATGCTATTTGGGTTATCAGGTGCACTGTGTTGTGGTCAAGTGGGGATTCGAGGATGATGTGGTGACGGGTAGTGCGGTTTTGGATATGTACGCAAAATGCAAGAATTTGGACGAGTCCCTACGCTTTTTTCACACGATGCCAGTGAGAAATTGGGTTTCTTGGAGTGCGATAATCGCGGGCTGCATTCAAAACGATGAGCATATGAGTGGTTTGCAACTGCTTAAAGAGATGCAGAAGGAAGGAATTGGGGTCAGCCAGTCTATGTACGCAAGTGTCTTTAGGTCTTAAAGAAATGCGACAGTTTAGTTAATGCCCGGAAAGTGTTCGACTTTTTGCCAGATTACAACTTGCAGTCCCATAACTCGTCAATCACAGGTTACACCCGAAGTCATCGTGGGTTCGAAGGTTTCTAGTTGTTTATACGTTTATTGAGGTCCGGTCTCGGTTTTGACGAAATAAGCCTCTCGGGCGCATTCAGTGCGTGCGCAGTAATCAGAGGACGGTTAGAAGGAACTCAATTGCACGGTTTAGCTGCCAAGACACCGTTTTTATACAGTATTTGCGTTGCCAACGCCATTTTGGATGCGTACGGTAAATGTGGATCTTTACAGGAAGCTCGTCAAGTATTTGACGAGATGGAAGTAAGAGATGCCTTGTCTTGGAATTCTGTCATTGCAGCTTGTGAACAGAACAAAAACGACGAGACCTTGTCGCAATTTGTTTCCATGCTTCGGTTGAGGATGGAGCCAGACGAGTTCACATTCGGGAGCGTATTAAAAGCTTGTGCAGGAGAATGAGCTTTGGGTCATGGGAAGGAAGTTCACGGGCGGGTGATTAAATCCGGGTTGGGAAGGACTCGTTCGTGGGGAGCGTGCTAGCCATGGCGTGCGGGCTCGGTCGAGAAGCTCGAGGGAATAGTCCCGAACCACGCAACTTTCGTGGCGGTCCTTCGAGCTTGCGGGCACATCGGGCTTGTAGACGAGGCACTCGGTTGCTTCAACATTATGAAAAACGAGCACGAGTTAGAACCTCAACTCAAGCAACTCGGGCCATGTGGCGGATGCACTAAGATGATTCGAGAAATGCCGTTGGAAGCCGATGATGTGATTTGGAGGATGCTTTTTAGCACGTTGTAGAATGCACGGGAATGTGGAGGTAGCCGAGAAAGCGACGAGTGCCCTTCTCAAGCTCGACCCACAAGACTCGTCGGCTTGCGTGCTTCTTTTGAATGTGTATGCGAATGTAGGTATGTGGGGCTGGGTGTCGAAGATGAGGAGAGTGATGAGGCATGGGAGGGTGAAGAAGGGTCCCGGGTGCAGCTGGGGCGAGTTGTGCACATGTTTCTTGCTGGAGATAAGGCGCACCCGAGGTGCCGTGAGATTTACGGGAGATTGATTGTTGATTGGAGGGACGAAGATGGATGTTTGTGGAGAGGTTTTGAGGATGGATGAATCTTGCGCAGATCAGGTCTAAGCAGGGCTGCAAACAAGTCGAGTCGAGTCGAGTCAAGAGCATGGATCTTGTCCAGCACAGATCGAACTTTTGTCTTCACTGCTCGGTGATCCATGTAAAATGGGGCTCGACTCGACTCGACTCGACTCGTGAAAAAAAATAAGAATACTTGAGATTGATTCGTTATTCGACATGGCTCGAGTTCGGCTTGAAATTTTAACAACTAAGTTTTATATATATATATATATATATATATACTATTTTTAATCTAAATAATCAATTTTGGCCTTGGTCGAGCTTGAGTTGAAAATTGACTCGAGCGCTAACTCATTTGCAGTCCTAAGTGTTAGAACTTGAGAAGTATGGGTGGTTTTATCTTATCATATCACTGGATACTCTGTGTAATCCATTTTTATTTATTTATTTATTTTGGTTGATTAATTGAAATATGTAACAATGGCATTATAAAGTTCGGATTGAAAGAAAAAAAAAAAAATATATGCTATGAGAGTACACTTAAGAACTATCTTGGTTATTTACTAAAAAAACAAAAAGAACTATCTTGGAGACTTTCTATAGTCAAAAAATTTATATATGGAGAAGGATGCAGATTGAAATTTCGTATACAATTTCTTCTTTTGAAAGTTTAGTAAATTTAAAAATGTCAAAACAAAACTGTGACTGAAATAAAAAAAATTAAAAAATCATGACTCTTTAAACTATTTAAAACCTCAAATATTAAACCTCAAATGAAAACTCTGATACTTTTAAAAGTCTTAAATCTCAAGTCAAATAAACTATTGTTTCTAGATATTTAAAAGTTCTAAGAAATCTCAAACAAATACACATTTTTTAATTTTAAAAAGTATAATATATTTATTACAAATATTAAACTCTTAATATTTACTTCAATGGTCACCTTGACAAAACAATTTTTTTTTTCTTCAAAAAATAGAGATTCTTTTTTTTTTTAAATGATAAAGCATTAATTAAACTCAAAGAACAATGTACACCTATTAAAACTAATACCAACTAAGATACGAGCAAAGAGAAAACGTGATCGCCATTTTTGGTGAGCTTAGAGCTCTCGATACCATGTACAAATCTAAGTTTTCAGTGTTTGAACAAAACAATCAGATCAAAACGAGCTTAGAGCTCTCGATACCATGTAGAAATCTAGGGTTTAAGTTTCGAACAGAACAATCAGATCAAAACGAGCTTAGAGCTCTCGATACCATGTCGAAATCTAGGTTTTAAGTTTCGAACAAAACAATCAGATCAAAACAGAAAACGCAATCGCCATGAGTGAGCTTGGATAGATCAACACAAGCTTGAACAGATCAACAATTTAGCTACTCCCACTCCCAGTCGAAGGTTTCCCTGGTCCAGTTTTCTTCTTTGTTCCTCGACCCCCTTTCTTCGCATTAGATTTTCCCTTCCCGGTCTTTTTGGACTTCTTTTTAGCTTTTCCCTGGTGGTGAGGGGGGTGGCTTTTGATGGCTTCTGATGGCTGGTCGGGTGGTGAAGGGGAGGGTGGCTTATACTTGCAAGTAGGAGAGTGGGAATCCAGCAAGTCCTTGGTGTCGTAATGATTTCCACAAAAATCACATTTATGGTGCTTTTCGAAAATCTTTCTATGCGAAGATGTCGTTTTCCAGTGCCAGTACATCCCCCAGGGACCACACTTGGTTTCACGACAACCGATAAACACGCAACGGATGGCTCGTTTCGGATTCTTTTCATCATCACCAGGGGTGTCTTTGCTATCAGACAGGTTTGTCGCCATCAGAGCCATCGGAAGAGTCATCGCCATCAGAAAGGTCGCCATCAGAAAGAACATCATCAGAAGGGTCATCCTTCATTTCTTTTTCCAAATCCATCAAGGCTTGCTTATCTTCCTCAGATATAGCAGAGGCCTTGAGCTCATCAATGATTGCTTGGTTTTCTTCGAGCTTTGTCTTAGGATCTGGAGCTGCAGCTGTGTACATGAACCTTGCTCCTACATATATTAAAAAAAACAAAATACTATTATATCCTTAATTCACAAATAGATTATATCCTTATTATTAGAACTATTATTTGCAACCTACAAGAAATAGATTAAATCCCAGCCAAATTTCAACCAGCTTCATAAGTCAATTTTACACTGTTGGTTTTAAAAAAATGGACCTAGAGATGGCCAGTCAACGGGCCGAGCCAAGTGCCAGCCCGGCTGGCCCACCAAATCTTCTTTTTTAACTCCAATGCTAAAAACTTCTTTTTTAATTCCAATTCTTTCACAATTTGTTGAGCAGCAGCAACTAAATCTTCTTCTTCCCTTTCTTCTACTACAGATGTAGTAGCTGCAATTCCCTTCTCGGTTTCAGAAGGACCGAAGGTTGGACTATGTTTAGGGCTTGTGATTATTCTTTGTTCTCAGCCACTAAAGGAAGAAGGAAGCAGAACAACCAGTGGATGCTTGAAAGTGAGGTAAGCCGATTAAGGTCTTTGCCAGGAGTCCGGAGATTCTTGAATTTACAGAGATTCTTGAATTTACAAAGCATAAAGTCATTCTGCTTCAAGTGACCCTTCAATAAGTTATTTTTTCGTGAGCTCTAGAATCAGTTTGCCTAAAAGAACTTGATGGAACAGGCTCGGCTGGATCAAAGCACTTTTTTCTGACACTCGCAACTACTCCTCTGTACATGTAGGAAAGACCACTACTGAGACTGGAACTCAAGGGCCTCCAACGTTCAACTCTTGGTAAGGCGGAAGCACTTTTAGGGCTTAGGACGAGAAAGACATCTTTTACACTAATTGTTTACCTAGACTTAACAGATGGATTGGCCTTGCCTACTTCAATGCCAACGGCAACATCAATGTCAACTGAAATAAATGCCAATAACCAACAGCAAAAGAAAGTGCAAACTGATAGACCTTTTTCCCTTAAAGAAGAAGAAACCATTCACTGTAACAAAAACCTCAGGAAAAGTTATCTAGTTAGACCTTCCCGGTAAAGATTACTAAGACACGGTTCGTTTACGTCGTACTGAAATTCCAGGCTCAAGTACCTGCTCATCCAAAAAGAGGGCTTTTACCTTATCGGCAGCTACGTGGGCTCTTCTTTCTTATTCTAAAGCTGCGTACAC